CACTAGAGAGAATGCAGCTTTAACACATGAAGCTTTGGATTCACTCTGCAGAACCGGAAGTTGCCGCCTGGCTTCACTTCTGTAGTAGTTTTGAAAAAAGGCAGAAGATCGACAAACACCGAAGGTTATTAAAAGTGTGTGACGGTTTGTGCTTTCGTTATCTGGTTTATTTAAACCTGTGATCTTCAGTGGCCGTGCAGAACACTGGATGCATCACACACTGCGCCGTCTCGCTCGCCTGTTGCCGCTCTATGCAGCTACATCTTCTACCGCCACTTTTTAAACTCGTCCGATTGCAAATCAGGGCCGTGTTTATGAGGATGTATTCATAATGTGCACGTAGGTTTTGGGAGAATGAACGATTGTAGAATCTTTGATCAGAGTAATCGATACGGCAGCTTGGCGGTGGCACAAAGGAAGCTGTTGACACGGTTTTATCTGGGGAGTAACTCTACTCAGGTGAACCTGAGGTTTGTGGCGGGACCATTCAGCATGTCGCTTCATTGTCCGCGGCCTCGCCAGTGGATGTAGCTCAACCCTGGATATTACAAGATACTTATCAGCCTCGTCCCGCGGAGTGGAAAGCAAATGGAGGCGTCCCGGACAAAGAGCGTTTCTCTCTCTCTATCTCTGAGAATCCTAATTGTCTGGTTTTCTCATGTAGCTAACGAGTGTTACCGCTTTTCATCCACGGGTCGCCCAGTCACTGAAGCTCTCTCCCTCCGCTCTGCTTTGGCTCTGCCTCTGAGGACGGTCCTCATCATCCAACACAGGAGCCCCAAACGATGCTTGTGTTGTATAGAAACTACCATTTAGACTGCACTGGTTTAGGCTCCTTCATCGGCCCCATTGATGATTTCACTCAACAGTTCAATCAGCTGATTCTTACTCTGATTGGCTTCACATCTACTGCTCGTCTTTGGTTCATTCATGAGGAGTTTGTCTGAATTACAAGACGTCCTTGTACCGTTGTCTCATATGAACTCGCACAATGTTTTGGATAATCGGGTCAGCGGTTTCTCTATCACTCAGCACCAGATTGTCCGCGTCAGACGCGTTCTCACCAGCTGGAGATACTCTGTTTGGTTTCGGTGAGGGGTGTTGGTGCTGGTGCCTTGGTAGAGCGTGCAGGAGGAAGGACAATCAAGTGTTCAAGGGTCCTTTATTGTCACTATGCAACATAGGGATGCACAAAGGAATTCAGTTGTAGCCTGTTTGTCACACAACAAACACATGACAAACAAAACAATAGGTTTTTCATTTGCATCATAATGAATGTAAACAGCAGCAACAAAAACAAATCTCTGGTCAGATAATACAGTATGTCCGACATCTTCACTTTAAGAACTCAACATGAGGGAAACATTGTCCATCAACTGACTGTTTGAGCACAAATCATCACGATGTGAACACGGAGTCCTGATCTCTGTGCTGCTGTCCGCCCGCCAAGTGCAGCTCGATCCTGGACCACGATGGATCCTGGACCACGATGGATCCAGGACCACGATGATGTGGACTACACCGCGGTCACATAGCCGCTTTAGATATTTAGTTTACCAGAGGTGTGCTCATACATTATTGGGATCACGTCATTCAGCATGAAAGAAAGCGACTACAGGACTTACAAGCTAGTTATAAGTCACTATCAAGTGATAATCGTTTGCTCTCAGTGAAGTGAAAAAATATCATTAAATCTCTGCAAGAACAACACAAAGCTCTGCAAAATGAATTAATTTGTGTAAACGGGTCACAGCTGAACTTGAGAGCTCAAATTTGACACAACTTTTAAATGATGAACAACGGAATGATGACGAAAACAAACACTTTAAAGACTCATCTGACTGAAGTATCGATAGCACCTGAAACAGCTGTACCTGTAGCTGGACGGAGCGCGTCGTAGTTTGAGTCAATGTAGTCTGAAGAGTGAGTTTTTTGTGATGTTATTAAGCATTAGAAATGTTTATAAGTGCTTATAACTATAATTATACGCAGATTATAACGCTTTATAGGTTTGTTTAAAATGCATTATAGAAATGGACGTCACAGAAAGTTTTACCAAACCTTCTGAATGTTTTAGGACTGAGTGGACCCTGAGTAGAGAAGCTGTCATTACAGCTCAGACCAGTTCAAAGTAAATGACAGATAAGACATAGATTTTGTAAGTTACTTTTGTAACTGTGGTGATATATTTATAAACCATCATTCTCAATGGACGAACCAAACCAACTGAAGCCAGCCTCTTGCTCCTGGATGTTTGAACAGGAAACATGAAGATTAAAGGTCCACAGTTGCAGGATTTAACCCGAGAAAACAGCCCCAGAATCTATTGAACTCAAGCCACTACATCTCATCAGTAGATACACAGCGAAGGTGTTTTATCTTTAACAGTTGTAATGTTTGCCTGCAGCTTGCTGAAACATGGAGACGAGTGCTTTGAACCTGCATTCTGCCCCTGTCTGTGGAAAGGAAAGGAGTATTACCCCGGAGACCGAGTCTCCTCCCCCTGCCATCAGTGGTACGTTCATGCATTTTTTAAGACCCAGCTGCATATAAAATCACGTTTGTTTGTTAAAACACACAATCTTTTCCTTCCTTCAGTGGGTCTTCATCCATTTTTCTCTCCAGATTGATTTTGGAAAGTCTGGACAGAACAAAAAAAATACGTTTTTTGCAAATTGTATTTGAAATGCGATTCCAGATCGGATTTCTGATGCTCTGGTCGCTCAAATAGGATTTCAAAGTGTGGAAGTGCTGAGCACGCTGCTACTAGCAGAGCGCTGTGGAGGACGACATGATGGGGAACAGACCTCTCTTTTCCAATTCAGGTCTATGGGAAAAAGTCGTTTTTGGGCCCCATGGCATCATGTGATGAACCAGGAAGTTGTAATTTGTGTAAGATTTGCCAAGAAGCCCGGCGTTCTTCCTCTTCCTTTTCTTCTTCAGATGCCAAAATACTTCTTTCACATTCACTCTGCTTTTCTCTTCTCGCTTTTGCCCCCGAGACATGACAGCACGATTGTGTTTTGAGGGCGAAAGCATTCGTTGTTAGAAAGCCCGGTTACCAGCGTCACCGGCGTCACCAGAGTCACCGGCGTCGCCACACATTCACATCGGTTGGTGACGTCTGGACACACAAATCCTAAATCTGATCACTTGCAGATGGCAGTGCGGACGCTTAAAGATCTGATTTGAAAAACAAATCTGATCTGCCTTTGTCATGCCACACAAATTTGTATCCCCCCCCCCAATCATTCGCCAACAATATCTGTCATTGGGTGGTCCGAGGCCCCTTAATGGACCCATTCAGCCCCTCCAAAGCCTCGATAGCAAAACTTTGGGGGGTCTCTAAAATCACTCATTGCCACTGGGTATGCTACACTCTGTCCATTAGAATCAAGACAAATCTCCAACAACGATGCTAATTATTTCAAAGTCAGATTTTGCCTGAAAGCCTGAGATCGTGGCCACCTGATATCCATAACTCTCCGCCATCACGGGACAGAAGACAGAGCGGGCCCTTGTGCGACTCTCTGCTTCAGACTGTTCATCGCTGGTGAAAAGAAAACGCTCTCCCAGCGATCTCCGTCATTTCTTCTTCACGCCACAGCCGTGGGACGAAGATGTAGATGACAGACTAATAGCGCAAATTCAGCCTTCGACAATTCACCGGCCACTTTTCTTCACCGCAGTAAAAAAACCCGAGGCTCCCGACAAAAGGAGGGGCCATTACAGACGCGAACACACAAATGTCCTGGCACTAAGTGGGAACAAGTTGCTGCTGAATCACTGAAGCTCTGCTGTCTTTGTAGTGTTTGCCAGCACGGGACGTTCCAGTGTGTGTTCCGTCCGTGCCCGTCCATGTGCATGGCTTACGGCGACCGCCACTACAGGACGTTTGACGGGCTGCTGTTTGACTACGTCGGTGCATGCAAAGTCTATCTGGTGAAGGTACTGAACGTGTTCATTTAAGAGACACAAAACCCGTTGCATGTTCATCTGTGCACTCTGTTTGTGTTATTTGAGGGCTGGGATGTTTCAGTTGTTATTGAAAAATACTCAATACTAAAGTTAATCACTCCAGTATTCAATGTCTTCTGTGACTTTGGCAGTTTCAAAAATTAAGTAAAAAATAAAAAAAATCCCATTTTCCCTGTGTTTATTTACAGTATTGTGGAGCTTTGTTGTCCAAATTAAGCCTGTTTTTAGATGATTAAACTGGCAAAAATAAAATAAAATAAAGACAACATCAAATGAAGTGATTTAAAAGAGATTACTGATCTTGAGAGCCTGATGGCAAAAGCACGGTCACCTTTAGTTTTAAGCCTTAAGGCTGTGAGCCGGATCATAGGGGGTCAACATTTCTTTATATTTTGGGGCCAGACCCAGACGTGCTTTAAAAGTGATCAGTAAAATCTGAAGGAGTTGGAGGCGAGAGAGTGACTTTTGGTTGATGCCAGAGAGGAGGGAGTTACAGTAGTCAAGTCTTCAGAAGATAAAAGCAGCAATCACTGCGTCCAGGTTAGATTAACTCTTATTAGACAAAACGGTATTAACAACATAATATAACATTGCTATGGTCCTTCACAATTAAAGGGGCCGCGTGGAGTTTTCTTGTAAACGTAACAAAAGTGATGTTACTCATTGATTAAAGCGTGAATACTTGTGTTGAATGCGTTTCCTTCCTCATAAATGTAGCGTCGTTAATAACAGTCTTCTTCTTCGCTGCACTTGTTGGTGCATTGCTGCTTATCTCAGCGTGTTACTGCCGCCTGTAGATCAGCGGAATAGGGTGAAACAATCAGCCGACATTTTGACTTGTCACGGCAGGAAAACGGCAGCTAAATGGAATTCAGCCTCGTCGTTAATTTAGTTATTTACACGTGCGCTGCTTCTACTGTGACACGTCAAACTGTGTTCCCTGAAACCTGAACCCCCAACCCACAAGGCCAATGTGTGTCGTTATATCGCTGTGTGTGTGTGTGTGTGTGTGCACGAGATGAACAAAACAGTTACCTACTGATAAAGAAACACCACGAGAGGCCTCAGACTCCACAGGGAACCTTTCACTGCAACATCACTGTCAAATCATTTAGATCATTTTTTATCAAGCATCAAGGAAACTTGGCTTTGTGCAGTAAAATAATAAGTGACGATGAACGTAGAAAAATAGTAAATTCAAATAGGGCAGAAAGAAAAGACAAAACAAGTTTGCGTATATTATATTGGGTTTAATGTGACTGCTTCCTCTCCTCCACAGAGCAGCGACGATGTGATGCTCAGTGTCACGGCCGAGAACGTCGACTGTTTCGACAGCAGAGTCATCTGCAGGAAATCTCTGCTCATCAACATCGGCAGATCCTTCGTAGCATTCGATGAAGACTCTGGGACACCGGTGAGAGACGCTCTCTGTTTATATTTCATATATATCAGACTGACGCAGGTTGTCGCAGTAAAAAGAAGCTTCATTTCTAAAAATATGTGCAGCTGAATAATGTGAATGTTTTGTTGCTGCACCTTGAAGTGGATGATTTGTTTGCTCGTCGTATTTAAGTCAACTCAGGAATCACATCTTTGAAAAACGACTCGTGTTTCTCACAGAATCCCTCGAGCGTGATCGACAGGAAGCAGAGGATGTTCATCTGGCCGGCCGGATACTTCACAGTGGTTCATTTCCCCGATGAAGACGTCACCGTCCTCTGGGACCGCAAGACCACCGTCCACATCCAGGTCGGACCTCGCTGGCAGGTACAGGACTAACTTTAAAATGTATACATCTAAAGTTACCGTCAGCTAACTGAGCAAACTCCACGACCGATGAAGACAGTGTGACATGAGCGAAAGCTAAGAAGGTGGACTTTGAGTTGAGATCGCTTTGTTAAAGTTACAGTGAGGAACTTTTATCTGGTCCTGAACCAGTCTCAATTTAGTCCTGGTCCTCTATATGAACCAGCCTCAGTGTAGTCCTGATCCTCTATCAGACCTCCATCAGTAAAGAGACCATCAGAGAGAAGATGGTCTGTTTCTATAGAGTTATTCTTAATGCTCATCATCGGAGCCACCGGGTTGGATTCTGGTGAAACCAGATGAAATCATGCAGGTTCACCAGAACCTCCTTCAGCTCAGACTCCAGCAGAGACCGGTCCACCGTGGACAGACCCAGATCCTCCAGCAGAGACCGGTCCACTGTGGACAGACCCAGATCCGGCTTCACCTGCAGCCTTGGACCTGCAGCCGGAGCTCCGGAGGGAGGAGGTGAGCTCAGCTCCCGGCAGCAGCAGCAGCGTCTCCTCCTCCTCCTCCAGGAGCAGAACCAGAACCAGGACCGAGAGGAGCAGACTGTCAGACCCTGCTGCAGTAGAATGAGAGGTTTACTAAATGGACTCTGGTGCTCAGAGACACTACCACTTTAATCCACAGGGACGACAGCATCAACACAACATTAAAGTTCCTCAAAGAAGTTTATGATGGCTGTCAGAGAAAACCGGAACATTTTAGTCACATTCATTAAACATCAAACGTAACGTGTGACCTATTCAGCAGCAGAGCGCTAAGTGCTGCCATCGGTGGTCAGAGGCTGTATTGCAGCAACACTTCAGTAGCAGTGTGATAAGAATAACAGACGGGGAGGTTCTTCTTGTTTGGTGAACTGGAACCTTTTTTCATTTTCTAAACAGGATGCTGTTAAGTGGATATCATTGTATAAATTAGATTTAGTTACAGAGAGATGTTGGTGATGTGTTCAGGGGAAGCTCAGCGGGCTGTGCGGGAACTTTGACACGAAGACGGTGAACGAGATGCGGACGCCCGACAACATCGACTCCCCGACTCCACAGGAGTTTGGAAACAGCTGGACGGCAGCAGAGGTGAGTGAGACGTCATCGAGCTTTTATTTATTCTAGCTTTAAAGTTAGTTATTTTGTATCCACTTTTTACTTGTAGAGCAGTATTTTTACACTGTAGTATTAGTACTTTTAGTAAGTAAAAAAAGGATCAGAATACTTCTTCCACCTCTGCTTTACTGCTTTACCTCTAGTAAGAAGTTGTTATCAACCCCAACTGTGTGTGCGTGTGCGTGTGCGTTTGTGTCTGTGCGTGTGTGTGTGTGTGTGTGTGTGCGTGTGTGTGCTCAGTGTGTGAACAGTCCAGACATCAGACACCCCTGCAGCTTCAGTCCGCTCAGAGAGCCGTTTGCAAAGCGTCAGTGTGGCGTCCTGCTCAGCGAGGTCTTCCACGCCTGCCACCCGGTGGTGAGTACCAGAACTACAGCTGCTGCTTCTGATGCATCTGATCGTCTTTTTAAAAGATGTTTGTTACTGTGAAAATCTTCACGGTGTTGTATTTATAAGATAGATAACTAAATATAACGAAAAAATATTATGAAAAATACAATTTATAATAAAATATACATATATATATATACACGTGATTATTTATTTATTTTAAATATAATATGCATAATAAATAAATACAAAATGTAGTATTTGTAGCTATTTATTAGAATTTTACATCCATCAAGCGTGATAAGTGTTTGATACTGAAAAGATTGGATTTACATTTTTGAACTACTTTTATTCTCAATAATTTCCCAACTACATAAATATTCATGAAACATATAATATATATATAATAAAATATAAATATATATGTATAAAATATATATTTTTAGATATTTATTTATTATTAAGTTATCTAAATATGAGGTACATTTTCTTTAACTACTTTTATTCTCGATAAACTCCTGAAAGAAGCGTTTGTTCCTCTGCATGCTCAGGTGGACGTCACCTGGTTCTACATGAACTGCCTGGCCGACACGTGCGCCTGCAGCCGAGGAGGCGACTGCGAGTGTTTCTGCACCAGCGTGGCGGCGTACGCCCAGCGCTGCTGCCACGAGGGCGTTCCTGTGGACTGGCGCTCCCCGTCTCTGTGCCGTGAGTCAGAGCGCTTTACTTCACTTCAACCTGTTTCAAGTCATCATATACATCTAAAGCAGATATCCTTTAACAAGAAACATTATTCTAATTCTATTCATGACTTAAACAGCTCTTTATAAAATACTATAATAATACATAATTATATATTATATGCCTCATTAAAAACGGGAACCTGTTTTTCTTATGAAGCACTTTTTAACATCTATAACTATTGTTGTTATTGTTATTAACTCTGTCTGTGCTTCTCTCTGCAGCGTATGATTGTGAATTCTACAACAAAGGTACGCTCAACAATCTCTCTGCTGAGAGATAATGGGAGATAATGGACCAAATACATCACACACACACACACGCACGCGCACACGCACCCACACACACACACTGTCACATTTACAAGGTTGCTTCTATAAGTGACATGTAAAACACTTTTCACACAGCCAGAACTGGAGGGAGTGGATATTTGGTCACTCGTTCGTTTCAGGATTACTGAGATTTAAACAATAACTCTACAGTTTTTTTTTTTTTCTTTTGCCTGTTTTTGCTCCTTCACCCTCTGAGACCCGGGGATCCCGGCCCACATCACCGTCTTTAAGAGGCTGTAGAGCTCAGCCTTAAAGCTGGAGTGAAGATACTGGTATCATATGAAACTACATGACCTGATGAATCTTCAATGTTAGGCTAAAGTTTGACAAACCTGGTATCACTGACATGCCGTCATCTGCTTCCATCAGAATGTTCTACGTCCTGTTACACAATTTATTTTAATTAAAGTTGCTACAGGGAACTTCTATTTTGTGTTCTGTTGGTCCCTGTGGACTAAAGTGGTAGTGTTCCTGAGCACCAGAGTCTCTTTAGAAAACCTCATTTTACAGCAGCAGGGTCTGACAGTCTGCCCCTCTCAGTCCTGGTTCTGGTTCTCCCGTGCCCCCCTTCCCTCCAGCTCCCCCCTTAAAAAACACAAAACAGGTTTGTTTGTTTGGGGCTCAGAGAGTGATTGTTCTGCCTATTATAAAGGTCCAGTGTGTAGGATCTGGTGCCATCTAGGGGTGAGGTTATAGTTTGTGGGTCTCTCAGGGTTAACTGGATGTATTTTTGCTTCGACTCCGGTTTTAAACTTCACTTCCGTGCTGCTGGAAAAATACACCCAAAAAGGTTTGCAAGATGTAGCTGTGATGTAAAGAAAGTGGGTCTAAGTCTGCGTGAATGCTAACGTGGCCTCCTGTCTGCAGTTCTGGGTAAAGGCCCCTTCAGGCTGATCACCTTCAGGGATCGGACGACGCTGTTGGCGGCCAGCGGGTCCAGTGGCTCCGTGTTCCTGCAGCGCGGCAACTTCAGCACCGCCGCCGCCGCCGCCGCCGGAGTCCTCCTGCAGTTCATGATGACGCCGGGCCTCAGCAAAGCCCGACCGCACGGTGAGCTACTTCTATTCAGACATACCTGAATATTTCTCTACAGCCACATGTCCAAGTGTCCTAAAGCGAGGCACACACAGCGAAGCTTTAAATAATTATTGTGTTTCTTCACCTCAGTCTCTGCTTCTTCCTCCTGCTGGTGTACAGATGAATCTTCTTTCTCTCCACAGACACATCGCGGGTTTCCTTCGAGGCAGCCGACAGACCAAACCACTTCCTATCCGCGAGCCCCGGTGGCCAGGTGAGGCTGGCCAAATGGGAGGAGAGCGATGCATTCTGGGACGGAGCCACCTTCGTCCTCCACAGGAACACCTGGACCCCCGGCTACGACTCGCTGGAGTCCCACGCCAAACCGGGCTTCTTCCTGCATGCCACGCCGGTCCGCCTCCACCTGCTGAAGTACAGACACGCCGACAGCTTCCGCAAGGCCACGCTGTTCAGACTGACAGGTCAGCGGCACTGAAACGACCAACGGGCAGCGAATGCATCACACAAACTGCGATTGATGACAAAAAATAACGGATTTGATTTTAATATTTTTGAAAACATTCAGTGATTCCCAGTGTTTTATAGCCTCCGTAGAAAATGTCCACCTCCTCGACTAATAAAGAGAAAACTATGACACAATATGAAATATTAATAAATAAGATAAAATAAAATAAAATAAATCTGAAGAAGATGATCTGGAGAGGCATGTCGAGGTTCTAGTTATACTTTTAAGCCTCGGTGATCAGCTGGCCACCGGGGGTGAAAGGTGAAGAGCAGTGACTCCTCCGGCTGCATTCTCCGCTCAGAGAGCAGCCGGGCTAATCCCAAGCTAAAAATACAGCAGCGTTTGTGTTAGGTAATGGAAGGGGCAGGGAGCCGGCAGCAGATTGTGTTTCCTGCTGACTGCAGAGAATGTTGAACACGTTCACGTTCATCACGTTACTGCTCTGAGAGTCCTTCTCGATGAGTAACACCATATTCTTCTTCTTCTGTTGTTCTGCAGATTGAGGCGACATCAGAGTCATGTTTGTGTATCAACACTTTATGAGCAGTTTATTGAGACTGTTCAGTATATTTTAACACTTTGGAACCAAAAGTGGTTTCATTGTTGCCTTCACTCACATCTCAAAGCATTGATGTAACGGTGCAACTGTTAAAAACACATGAAAGAGATCATGATGCAACTTTAAGCACTTAAACCACAAACAGTTGTGAGGCTCAAACTTGTCTTTAGTGCAGTATAACATTTATAATGCCATTAAATCACAAAAAATAACATTTCTCTGATCATTTCTTTGACAAGAATTGGAAAACAGTGGGATCTATATATTGAGCTATTTACATTTTGACATCTCCTCTCTGCTCGGTTCAGCAGCCTGCAGTTCAGTCAAAGTTTCACTGAGTTTTTGCTTCTCCTGGTTCATCCATGATGTGTTCAAGGGCCGTCAGAAAGTTGGAAATCCGACATTAAAATAAGAAAACAAGCTTTTTAAACCCGCCACCAGGTTCAGAGGGTTCAACACAATGTGTCATTTTCTGCCACTATGTGTCTCTAAATGTAAACAACAACAAGAGATGGCGTGTGGTGAAGCAGCGTGGGATCGTGGGGGTTGTTGTCGTCATTGCCGTCAGCTTCTCCTGCTTTGGATTCCTTCAGTGTTCATCATTCCTCTCCTCTCTCTAAACACACAGACCCGCTGATTAAAACAGTGAATAAAGAAGCAGCTTCATGTTAAACGTCTGTGTTTCTCTGACGCTGCTCAGCGGACGCGGGACGTCCTGGAGGGGCTGCGGGACGGGAAGTGTTTGTGGTGAATTGGTTATGAACGACTATCCGCAAGACGCTTTAAAAATATATACGTAAAATAGACAACGAAAATAAATACATGCACAAAAATAAATGACATAAAAACAATGAGACAGTTTTCTTTTAGCTGTGCTCAGATCAGATTATATCCGTTCAGCGAGGCCGATGTTTGAGACGTAACAGTCTCGTGACCTTAAAGTAAAACAGTAAAGTGTGTTTTCCATCAGGCCCCAGCGCGGACGCCCTGCCGGGTCCTCGGTGTCAGTGGCGGTACGATTCCTGCGTCATCCCCTGCTTCAAGACCTGCAGCGACTCGTCAGCTGAAGCCTGCGTCGCCATCCCACAGTGAGACCTTTGACCTTTTCATTACACAAACACAGTCTCGACTGGACTCAGAGGCACACATCAGGCCTCTGATGGAGCTGAAAATAAGAGCTTTATGTGGGACGTACAGGACAAAGAACTCTTCTGACACTTTGTACTCTTTGCTCCAATAAGAATACTGTATATTCTCTGCAGCAAAACTGAGATATTCCACTCATCGTATTTATAGTCTATTTATATTTTTGCATTGAAAAGATGTGGACGTGATGTTCAACAATTCAGACTTTTGAATCCAGTCAAACTGTGTTTCACTCACAACCCCTTGTGTTTTATGAGCTTAAACGTTTATTGTACGTTTCACTGTACTTTGTTTTGTTTTTCACGGCTGTGTGTCGCTCTCTGTACAGAGTGGAGGGCTGCCTTCCTGTCTGCCCCCCCCCACATGGTCCTGGATGAGGTCACCCGTCGCTGTGTGTTCGTTGAAGACTGTGAGTATCTTGTCAGGTGTGGACGTTGTGTGGACGTTGTGTGGACGTTGTGTGGACGTTGTGTGGTTGGATAGTCAGAGCAGCGGTTACACGCTTTGAAAGTAGGATGAAATATGGTGTTATTAGTTAAAATCTTTACTTTTAGCAACTGTTTTGATATGAAGTGACATTTTTTAATTCTCTTGTTTATCAGTGTGCAAATCAACAATAACTTCAAATTATGGCGTTAAAAATGTAAAATCAAATCCCTGAAATGAGTAGAGAACGGAGGTGATGAAGAGTCAGGAGGGCAACAAACATGACCTCTAACCCTAAATACACCGAACCCTCCGTGAAATACGAGCCAAAGGAAGCTTCGCTCCTCTCTGTCAGTGCTTCTCTAACTTGCTCTTTGTTGTTTGGGTTCAGGCATTAAGGGCCCAGTTGCTGTGCAGCCTGTAACACCGTCCTCTGCAGCTGTCACTCCTGCAACCACCACGAGCACTGCTGCCTCCACTAGCCCCCGCCAGACCACCACCACCACCACAGCACCCTCCACCCCTCCACCCATCGCTCCCACCAGTAAAACCACCACCACTAGTCCCGCCGTTAGCACACAGACAGCCTCGTCTAAAGCACCGCCGGCCCCTGAAGAGCCCACCCGTCCGGTCGCCGTCTCTACTTCTGCAGCTCCTGAACTTTCCAGGACATCAGAGCCCCCGTCTCCTCCTACAGCGCCCTCCGCTGTCACGCCGGATGTGGAGGAGCCGCCGTCTACCGTCGGAGCGACTGAAGCTTTGCCCACTGCTGCAGCGTGGACGACCAGAGCTGCGAGCTCCACCGCCGGCCCCATCACGTCCAGAACGAGCAGGTCTCCTTTCGCCATCACGGCTCCCTTCTGGGTCACCTCCTCCATCAAGCCCACCGACCTCCTACAGCCGCTTTTCTCCACCACTGCTGCCACAAGCCTGCAGCCATCTACCGCCGCAGCACCGACCGCAAGCTCCATCGAAGGGCCGACCGCCATCAGTACCCCTCCTCCTGTTATCGTGCACCCGACCACAGAGACCACAGAGGCTACGACACATTCAGCAGCAGTCACTCCGGTTGTAACCGCCTCGAGTGCAAGTTCTGCTCCGGTCTCAGAGACGGCTCCAGTTACAGACCGGACCACCGTTCCCAGTTCAGCTACCACTGCAATAGCAGACACCATCACAAAGCCTGTAACAGTGGAGCAACTTCCCCCAACAACAACAACAACAACAACAACAACAACACCCATCCCTTCAGGTTTACCAAGCACAGCCTCAGTAACCTCCTCACCTCTCCCCGTCTCACCTCCTGTTGAAACAGGAACTACCTCTTTACCCACAGTCACTTCAGCTGAAACCACAGAATCAGTCGCACCAGTTGCAGCTTTCACCAGCAGTAGAACAACACCGTACATAAGTCCGGAGACAACATCGCCACCTGCTGCCACAGAGAAGATTCTGCACACCGCTCCCACTGAACTTACAACTTCTGCAACAGCTGTTCCTGAGATACCGACGTCATCTCCAATCCACGTTGCATCGACTACAACTGCACCATCCGCTCCTTCCTCAGCTGCAACAGACAGGAGAACAACAACAACGAAGCAAGTGACCATACTTGAATCCACTGTGTCTGAAATACCGGCAGATTTCCCAACAACGGCTGCACCTCCATCTTTGAAGATTACCGACATCCCGACTTCTCCCGTTTCCACCACCACGACTTATGCCGAGAGAACCTCCTGGACTACCGCCGTCCCACCGGCGGAGAAAACCACTCGGACCACAACTTCCAGACCTCCAGAGATGTCCACCGTGCCCACAGGCCCTCCTGTTACGACAAAACCAACTGTACCGCCAATGCCTCCTACGAAAACCACTGATTTGCCAAGTTTACCAACAGCAGAGAGCTCCACACATCCTGCGTCTACCGTTCGTTCCTCCGAGCCGTGGCATTGGGACACCGCCTCCACCTCGGTCTTTAGCCCCACAGTGAAGACACCACCAGAGGTCACGTCTAAAACTGTCGTCCTTGAAGTCACTTCCGCTAAAACTACCGAAGTGCCTTGGCTTCCCGTAACGTCAACGCCGTTTGTCACCTCTGCGACATCAGCTGCTGTGACAGCCACCACCGCCAAAACCACAACGCCTCCTGAAATCTCAACCGCAGAAATTGCAGCCACGACAACCAGGGAACTGGCTACTCCCCCGCCTCCACCTGCGCCCGGTGGTCCTGAGACACTTCTCACCACCATCTCTACAAGAGCTCCACCAGGTGTTGTCACCTCCACGCTCAGACCCGTCATTGTTCAGTCGATTGCAGTGACGACACATCCAGTGACCGGCAGAGCGGAGGCGTCAACGAGAGCTACAACCACGCCGCCTCCATCTTGGTCTCCGCCGCACACGACTACTGCTTCCACTGCAGCTCCGAGGCCGACGACTGTCCGGGACGTAGTCACCACCCAGTTGGTGTCCGCTGAAAGACCCACAGCGGCTACAACGACCACCACCATCGCACGGACGACCGCCGTCAGATCGACACCCGGGGCTCCCGTGACCACAAGAGTTACCCCCAGAATCACGTCGACTGAGAGGTCAACCGCCAGGCCGGTCACTGCGAGGGTCACTGCAACAACAAGGCCCCCGGCATCAACAACCAGATCCACCACTCTCGGTCCACCGTCGGTCCCCTCGAGTTCTGGAACGACAACCACGTCAGGGTTGCCGTCTGCAGCCGTCACAACATCTGCCGAGTCTGTCGTCACGTCAAGCGCGGCCGAACGCGCCGACACGACCGCAGCGGTGACTCACGGCCTCACCGCCGACGGTCCGGCGCCTGTTCCCGCTCTCACAGTCACGGTGTCTACAGCTGTCCCCACGACGACCACCGGAGAGTCGGCCACACCTGAGAAAACGCCGACAACCGAAGAGAGTGACGCGTCGCCGTCCGCATCCCGACCGGCGACGCCTCCGTCTGACGCTCACCTGACCTCTACCCAGAAGCCCGCTGTTCCCGCTACAACGTCACTGCCAGCAGCCACCTCGGTCCGAACTACGGAGCAGGACGGAGTCGATCGCACCGGTCCTCCTGCAGCCTCATCGCTCTCCACACCTTTGGAAACGTCCAGACACACGGCAGAGGTGACGACGTCCAGGGCTGTGTCGCCTACGAGGATGTGCACAGTAGGTTGATCTTCACTTCAGTCACATAATTCATAATCAGTAACAACACAGTTTTCCATAAATTTCAAAATAAAAGCACAAACTGCTGCTTTTATCACACAAAACGTATCCTTCTTGTGTTTCTCCTCCATTAGAGCAGCAGAGTCATTAATTAATACGATACAGAAGTGAAAGGTGCTTATTGCACAACATACGGTTTATTCTAAAGCTATGGTTCACTTATTAATCACATGAGTGGTATGGAAAGCCGAAAGTGTCAATAAACTATTTTTGCGGTACATTAACTAAAAAGGCACCGCTTTTTTGTTTTGTTTAAGTGTCATCACATGCTAACAATGGCAGACACTTGCAGACGCATTGCTTTGATCTGGCTTTACTCTTCGTCGTATACTTCATATGGGGCGAGGCAACGTATTCAACCACTTGGTGTCATTTGACCAATATTAGTACTAACTAAGTCACGTGATGACACCTGAAGAAGTCACTGAAGCTCCAGAAAAGGCTGCGACCGCAGATTTAGAGTTTATTCTTTACTTGAATCGGTCTCCACTGGTTGTCTTTCTTACAAACATCTTCATTTTTTTTGTTGTGTCACTTCTTTGGTTTTCATTTTTTTTTAAATGTGTTTCCGTCCAGCCTCCGTATGCAGAGATCGTCGATGAGTGCACAAAGTACATCTGCGTCAACAACCAGCTCGTCCTCTTCAACAAATCTCAGAGCTGCCCCTTCACCTCCGACCCCCCGAACTGCGGCCTGCTTGGCTTTGCCGTTCTGGTCAACGGAGACAAGTGCTGCCCGAAGTGGGACTGTCCATGTGAGGAAAACAGACACACGTTTAAAATATGACCCTTTTCTTTTCCCTCAGATGTGGCCGATAGTTTCAGGTTCTCACTGTCGTCCCTCCCGTGTGCTCCAGGTCGCTGCTCGATGTTTCCGGATCTGAATGTGATCACGTTTGATGGGAACAGCGTTGCCATCTACAAGGCCGCCTTGTACATCGTGACCCAGCTGCCCGACGAGACCGTCAGTGTCCTGGTTCAGGAGTGTCCTGCTGATTCAGAGTCACCAGTACGTCAATATCACACGTAGTGGGAGACACAACACAGATTTTGGGCTATTTTTCTTCCAACACTGTATATATACATTAGATTAGATTAGATAGATTTGTTTTATGTCTGTTTGATACAAGGAGATATCCAAAATTCCCTCGTTAAAAACCTTTGACTCTACATTTAGTAGGTTAATGCATCATTTTGCATAACTTTGGGGAGGTTTACTTATTGAATTTCTTTCCAAAGCTCCTCTGGAACTTCACCAACCTGTGTCTGGTGGCGCTCAACATCACGCACAAATCCAACCACATCATCATCAACCGGCTGCAGAGGAGGGTGAGCAGCAACACTCAACATGTTGTTACTTTGCATATAAATACAGCCGTCACACACAAGCAGCGTCTGATGACGTCTTCTTTCAGCTCTACGTCAACTCGCGCTACGCCAAGCCTCGATTCAAAAGGTTTGGCTTTGAGATCTACGACACCGGCAACATGTACCTGATCCGCAGCCCGGCCGGTCTCAAGCTGCAGTGGTACCACAGCACCGGCATGATGGTGATCGACACCGACAGCTCCGGCAACAAGCTGCACACAATGGGCCTCTGTGGTAGGAGTTACTCCGGGCACGCTTCTCACTGTATTAGCTGCTCTTTAAAACGCTTTAAAAGACTTTAATGGACCCAGTAACTACATATGGCAGCAAGCTCCAGTCGTCACATGTCATGGATGTCATGACGAGTAAGTAAATATAGTGTTTTTGTGAACCCGTCTCTCTCAGGTTTCTGTGACGGAGACCCAACAAACGACCTAACTTTGGCCAACGGCACCACGGTGGGCGCGAGCGAGGATCCGGCCGTTTTCATCGACAGCTGGCAGGTCCCCAACACCACGGGCTACGTCAGCTACAGCCGCCGCCGAGAGCTCAACTGCTCCACGAGCGACTGCTCCGGCTGCCTGCTCATGCTGCAGGACGAGGCCTTCGAGCCCTGCCACGCCTTCGTACGTTACAACCCGTCCGTCAACTCGTTCCCACGTTCCCTCTACTTATACGGAGGAGCTGGCAGACACTTTGCTTGGCTCTGAACTAAACACAGAAAAAATCCTACTCATGTATTTAGCTTTGCAGCCCTTTTCTGGCATTATTGCTCACTTCTCTTCAGTAAAAGACAAATCATTTTAAATGTTTTAAAATATAAATCATCTATTTTTTCTGGTATCACAATGATAGAAGAAGTCTTTGTTTCATTTAATCAGGAGATGTTTTCTTCTTGTTTCCAGGTCCCGCCGAGCACCTTCTGTGAGGTTTGGGTACGAGATGCCGAGTACGTCAACAACCAGTGTGTGGCGCTGGCGGCCTACGTGGCTTCGTGCCACAAATTCAACATCTGCATCGAGTGGAGGAGACCGGACTACTGCCGTAAGACTTCTGTCAGACGCTCACGAGCTTCTCTCTGAGCCGGAGAGAAACTCTTCTGTGTGAAGAGCCTTAATAAAAAACTGTGATTTGGATCAGGGAGCGATCCAAATAAAATACGGTTACATATCTCTCACGCATCCGTTGAGACAGATGTACATAGAAGTTGAATCAGCAGGAATAACTGAGCTACCTGATGTGTGGCTGGGCAGCTTCTTTAAAGCTTTGTTTATAAGTCGCGCTTTGGCGCCGTAGCTCGAGCCGCCGCAGACGGCGCGCGAGATCCAAACATGAGCGGAAGCGTTTATACTCTGTGAGCTGCAGTATTCTCCAAAAAGCCAGAGGACGAACAAACAAAAGGAACAGGACAAGGAGTGTAACTCACAGATAGACTGAAGGTGTAACCTCCACTATAGAGAGGAACAATAACTATCTGTAAACTCATATCTCATATTCATAAACTACTTTATTACCTTTATACAAACCCTGTAAAGAAACAAGTTAAGTAATAAATGCATTATTGTTTCTTTTGCACTCTGTCTTTTAAAGTTGTATGTAAAGCGCTCTGAACTGCCTTGTGTCTGAAATTAGCTTCCTGAAGTAAAGTGTGTGTCTCTCTGACGTGTGTGCGTCTCCTCCGGCAGCCTTCTCGTGTCCCGCTGCTCTCCGGTATCAGGCCTGTCTGCCGGCCTGCACGTCTCAGTCCTGCCCAAACCACGACTTCGACTCGGACCCGGACCAGTGTTCCGGCCTGACCGAGGGCTGCGTGTGCCCCGAGGGAACGCTCCTCCACCGGCCGTACACCGCCCTCTGCATCTCGCCGGACAAGTGTGGTAGGACGCCAGTTTACGGATGGCATGTTAATGTTCAGGCAACCTGGAAAATACGTCACCATAGAGTGTAAATAAGAAGTGGACGTAGTCACCATGACGTCAGCCATTGGTTCGCCCTCACCATGTTGTTTTTTATGGCAACAAATGAACTGAAGAGACCATATGTAATGAGGAGTGACGTAGAGACGCCGTATACGTCTCTGGTAGAAACCTGTCAATCACTGTAGTCCCGCCCTAAAGCATCCCCTGCTTTATGGTCTGTTTGACTCTAAATGGACCATAATGTACTAAATGAACATCATGCTGTACTGAAGAAGACTTGAAACTAGAGATTGAGACCATAAACTGTCTGCTTCAGTGCCGTGGGCTCATTACCAATGAGCCAGAGATCACGGCTGTATGTTGTGTGTTCACAGCCTGCACCGACAGCTCCGGCGCTCCCCGTGCACACGGCGAGGTGTGGAAGGCCTCCAAGGACGCCTGCTGCATGTACCGCTGCGACAATGACACCGTCGCTCCCGTGGAGTACAACTGCTCCGACGCGGCGGCGCCGGCGTGCCGTCGAGCAGCGGAGGTGCTCATCGGCCTGGCCGCCGATGCCGGCTGCTGCCCGCAGAAAGTCTGCGGTGAGGCCACGCTGGATCCCGAGCTTCAGGTTAAAATCCTCCAGAGAACAGCGTAAAATCTGAGGCTCATATTGTGTCTTTTTATTCTTGTGTGCAGTGTGTAACCAGAGCCTGTGTGACTTGAACCCTCCTGAGTGTAAATACGGGGAGAAGCTGGTGTCGTACTACAGACAGGACTCCTGCTGTCCGGACTACGTGTGTGGTGAGTTTCCTCTCTGATCAGTGAACTCTGATGGCTTCTCTTTATTCTACAAGGGAGGCACTAATGTTTACCATCAACATCTGTATCAAGTGATACCAACACAGACGTTTCGTGTCTTTAAGTGTCCTCACTGTCACAGTAACAACTAGTGCAATATCTTAAAGGTCCCACATTGGAAGAGGTTTTTATTATAGAGACGGTCTAAGTTCTTTATAAATACTGTGAAAGTATCAAAAACTAATCCATTAAGAAACACACACAGCTCGTATTCAGAAACTGTGAATTTAAATGAGGATTACAACTATACAACATATTCAATTCAATTCAACGTGTCTTTATTGGCATGAAGGTTTCCTCCCATCAGCTGACAGGAAGTAAACACTGGAGTAAACAGGCCATGTAGGTAGACACATTAACTATCTGACAACAGTATAGAAATAATTTAAGTTTTAACTTAACCAGGCTAGCTGTGTACCCCCGTTTCCAGTCTTTATGTTAAGCTAAGCTAACATCCTTGTGCTTCATGTTCAATACACAGATATGAAAGTGCTATATTTAGTCCTTTAACTCGACTATGATAGTGAATAAAGACATTGTTCTCAAGCGTGGAACTCTTCCTTTCATGTTTCAGAGTGCGACACTGAACTCTGCGAGTCGGTCGTTCCCGCCTGCAGAGACGACCAGAATCTGATCGCCACCAGAGCCGACGGCAGCTGCTGTCTCGCCCACATCTGCAGTCAGTTCAAACATTCAAACACGTAACTACCGGTGAATCATCAGCAGGTTCACGTGAAGCCGTCGGTGTGACCAATGAAGTGTGTGTGTTTTTTACCCGCAGTGTGTTCTTCGTGTCCGGAGACGCCTCCTCTCTGCCAGGACGGCGAGGTGCTGACGGTGGACGGTAACACCACGGACCGCTGCTGCCCCGCCTACCAATGTGGTCAGACAACACACACACACACACACACACACACACTCTGTGTTTTCACATGCACGGGCTGGATATTTAAACATTTAAGAAAAAGGGATTTCATAATAGATGCATATCATTTTTGATATCTTTACATTTGTTTGTTTAAGAATTGGGACAACGATCAGAATCAGGTTTAAACATACGATAAATGAATTGCCTGTGTAGTGAGGCCAAAGCTGAAGTGTCTTAAATCCTGTATTCTCTCTAATGTCCAT